TTTCTGCTGCGTGATAGGAACGACAGTCTCCTGTTGATGAGGCTCAGCGAGCACGCACCAAAATGTAATCAGTCTGATGTGCTGTTCGACCGTCATTCGAGTACCAAGTAAGTAGATATTTCCTGGGGTTCTGAAAACGGGCGTTGCTTCGATCAGCCGATTAAGTTCAAAAAATGTGACTAGGTGCTTGGCATTTTTGCAACGTTAACCAAGGACGAACTTCCCCAGAACATTTAGAAACAATTGTTTTTTATCAATTCATTCTCAAACTGTTTACAGATTACATAGGTAACACTATAAAACAGATCTTACGGTTAGACGCAACACAAATCATGAGTGCGAATTTGTAATGGTCAATTTGCTTTTTTGTCATTTGGTTGATCCAAATAGGTTACAGTCTCAGGGTGACTGGACGGCGGAAACAAGCGGACGTGATCAGTCACTGGCCATGGAGTGACTAAACCAAACGCTTTGGAGCGCAGAGGTCAGGGGTTAACTTTCTAATTCCGATCTCATCAGCCATTGCTAGAGTGCGCAGTTGCACACCTGTGCATTTGGTCTTCGGGACATGATAAACAGCTTTGAAAGCGACGTCCGGATTTGATGTCTGGTGTCGACTAAGTGGACTAAGATGGGGCTGATTATTGATCCGGTCTGTCCTAGTCTTAACCAGCGTGGGTGATGCTCTATGACCCGGGTAGATAGCTATCGTGCAGTTCGACCAACATAAGATGCACAACAAACGCAACCATTGCTGAGGTCAGCATCAACAATTTATCCTTATTTTGAAATTGGATCATAGGACCACATCTAAATACACAGCGTTGAAGGCGTTGTTAATGTCTCTGTTCAGAAGTCGTACTAGGTTCTCATTCACGATATCGCCGTTGAATGGCAAACTGATGAACAAATCTTTCTTTCCCACAGTTTGTATGGGAGTATTCGGTTTTTGTCCAATCACATTTCGATAAACTGATCCCGGTAACAGTTCTCACGTGAGGTGTTTATGATGAGCAACAGCTCATCATTCGACACCTCAGAGCAGATTGCCTTTGGCCTGGTGGCCAAAAATTTCACGAAGTTACGTTTCTGTTGGATGCTAACGAAACTATTGAAAATGGTGCACCCGCCGGTCCATGTCACTTTTCGGTACAAATTTCATACGATCCGACCATCCTGCATTCTGCTAAGAGACTTGCAGAAACGATAATTGGTTGTTCGTTTTGCGTTCAATTGTGAAACGTGCTGCTTTGTGCGCTTTATTGAATTCCAATAACAGGAATGTAAGGTCACAGCTGGCCTCAGTCACGCAGAATGGCATCTAAATATCAGTGGTAATGTTCAAAATTAACGACTTCCGATTTCCGCATAGTTTTGTTCCAGTTTTGCGAGGAAGGCTTTAGCGAGTGATGGACCCAGTGGTGATCCCATGGCCATACCTTCTCTTTGTATGTACAAGGTGTGATTAAATAGAAACTGGATGGATATTGAGTGTACAACGAAGCGGCAGTTCGAACAAACCATGTGGTGGTAAATCAATATTAAGGCTATTTTCTTCCATGTTATTCACTAAGAAATCGATGACTTGTACGCTTGTGAATAAAGAATTGACATCCCGAGAACACATTGCTTGTCATTTAGATTAGGGCTCTTAATCCGAAGTATGAAGTCAGATGTATATCTCAGACTGTGTATGGCTATATGTTGTTTGGCTGGCTCCAATAGTTCGGATAGTCGGTATGCAACACCAGAGCCACTCTATTCCACAACCTTTCTTGGATTAGACATGTAGAGAACGTTTATAATAGGGTTCGTGACGAAACTGAGTTTCATTTCAGCCAGTTAACTACATAACCTTGGATTAGCTGATTGACGGGATGAACTTCGAGAGTAGGTTTCCTTTCATGTTGCAACTGACGAATCTTTTCATCCGTATAACACTCACGTGCCACTATAGAAATGCGTGTATAGATTTTGTCATACCAATAAAAGCTCACACATATGACAGGCATTTATTGTTATAATAGGATTCACCAAAAATCATTGAACCTACTTAAAATAGACGACACAGGGGTGAAAATTCAAGACAGTCATATCGGTATAACGGGGCTAGAACAGATTGATGTTATTCTAATCCCCCAATAAACACGGTACCAAGTCCAAACATTTTTACTGTAATTAGTGTGCACTATCGTAAATCTATAGGATATTGGCCACTCTTAGGAAACTCAGGTGTACTGTGAAGTTTTCATCGATCTAGTGCAGACAAAAGGTGGGGTTATAAAATGAAGCTATATATAAGTGAAGGTGGACATTACTCGTTTGTTTTCGTCTCTCTTCATTGTGTTACAAATATACAAATAATGCCCAAGCGGGGAACCGTAGCCAGCTGCTGCGTTCATTTTCACAGCTTCAATAGACTGAACAGTGGGCCGATCGGTTCAAGAATANTGTGTGTGTGTGTGTGTGTGTGTGTGTGTATGATTTGACGAAGAATCAATGTGGATCAGGTAGTTAAGGAAATCAGGTTCAACTAAACGATGCTCTCAATCTATTCGATTTTCCCTGTTTAGATTTCATGGAAGGAAGATCAAGGAATCTATGGTTAGGGATTGGGCACGGATGTGAAACGGTGAAGCAGTTGCGTTGGATTTTGTCATGGTAATATTTTTTCCGGATCCCCAGGACAATCTGAGCACATAGTTCCATTGTCATTAACCAGTTTCACTGACGTAATCTCCCTCCCAGTTCATTCCATCTGGGGCAATCGGATTATGCAAGGAATCCGTACACAATTACTGAGTAACTACCACCCGCACGCACGCACTCACATTAACTTACCATCTAATCCATCCACTTATGCACTGAATTACTCGTCACACTTCGAATATTACAATAGAAATAATTGGACGGCAATCAGAGCATTGCACAAGAAGTAAATTAAGTAACTAAGTGGGTAATTGAGTAAATATTAGGGAACCAACATCGGTGAACCATCAGTAAACTTGAAGAAATGAATTTGGTGGCATTTCATACTCTTTTGTGAAATATTTCTGCTGAGACTAAGTTGATTTGTGAAAACACAGGCCGCATGTTTGAAATGGCCCTGTGAATTAACGTTTGCAACTGTCTAAAGGAAGAATACGTACTAACTATGGATTACGCCAATCACTCAGTCAGCCAGGACGAGGCAGATACGCAGGCAAAGCAGTGTTCTTGACCAGGATGCAATCCGTAATTCAACTAATTCACTCATTGGATAGAGAGCGATCAATAAAACCATGTGGAACGAATGTCTACAACCACGCTTGACCCAGAAGTCCTCCTCACTGGATTGCTAAATCAGGCTCGGTTGTGTTACACCTCATGCGGTGCAATTCGGAGATGTGTAAAGTTCATCCGTCCGTCAACGTTCTCACCGGGTACAAGTCGTAAGAACCCAAGTGTGGATAAACAAACAATCTGAAGTGTCATTTAGTGACTAGAAAATGGGGCCTTCCGAAGACTGTTTTTCTACTAATTGGACAATTATCCAAATCTTCACCATGGGGATTTTCACGCGGAGGAAGCTGAATTCTATTGATATTCCATCACAGCCTCCAGGAGACGGTTCTGGGTACCTGTGGTGATCCAGACCTACGAGATGACGCCTACCCTGGAGCGGCGCGTCACAGGTTTTGGACACCTGCAATCAATCAGATTTCAAAGGTGACGTCAATGACGTGCTTACGTGTCACTGCTTCCGACCACACACCACAGGCAGATCGTGCCAGCCAATCCGAGACAGTGCAATCCAGACAGAAGCAGAATGATGCAAGCAATACTGGAATGCGATTGGTGGAAGCTTAGATAACCAATGATCACCTTTTTACATATCATTTAATCGCCCCCATTTCTTCTAATAAACGAACTACGAACTACCATTCTTGCGGCCTTTTCCTCGCGTCTCAGTTACGTGGGGCAATGCGTGCTAGTGCCATTGCGGTCCAGTGCTTCCGTGATCTATACCTTTTGCAAGTCAAGTTGTCCCAGTATCATATCNCAGCACCGGTGAGGTCAATGCGATAACTTGAAATAATCCGAGGACATCTTGAGATAATACTGGGACAACTTGAAATAATGACCAGTCAACCTGAAATGATTCCCGTACATCTTGAAATAATCCGAGGACATCTTCATATGATATTGGGACAACTTGACTTGCAAAAGGTATAGTCCGTGAAGGGTGATCCTTGATTCATGTCCTATGATTCCTATTGCATGGTCTGTGTTCTGAGTTCCGTGCGTATTACTACTACTACTACTACTACTACTATCGTTACCGTACCGCATTTGAGGAACGACAAATAGCATGATCGAGTTGTTATTCAATGCAAAAATAGATTATTCAAAGACTATTTATGAGGGAATTAGATGGCTGGGTGAGACAAATACTGCAGATTAACTAGGTGATCTCAATTTGCAATCGTCAGCCATCACTACCGTCAAAAGTTCAACTGTGTCGGGAAGTAAACTCCCTCGGTGCCCGAGACCAACAAACAACAAACACGCAATTCTCCGTTACATTATTTGGCGTACTGTCTGCCAACACTCATATCCAACACTGTGATTTAATTTCGGATTTCACTAGACTGCATTACCGCTCATGGTAGTTTGACACTAACACGTCTGGCATCAAACACGTGTGTCTGTGTATGTGCGTGTCAGTGAGCGGCCGACAAGTTGTGTGTTTACATGTGATTTTAACAATCTGAGCCCCGATTGGTGTATTGACCAGATCGAGCGGTATGCTTGTGAATCACGTGATATCTGACACTATGGGTAATGAACCAATCGCTATGATACTGAATAATCTTGTTCCCTTCAATTCGAAAATATACGTGTGGGTTGAAAGCCATTCTGTGACAGAACATAAGTGCAAAGTCAAACATAGTGTTGAACTGACTCATTGATTATCATACGAGGGAGTGAGTGAGCTGCAACCGGACATCAATAACTGAATGGCTGCGATAGGTATTGATTATGGAACAACATACAGTGGAGTATCCGTATTCTCCAATGGTGTGTACAACAATATCCGAATGATTAATGGGGAAGAGACTATTCCGAGCATTGTGGCATACGCGGATAGAGAGGAGCCATATTTTGGTGTGGAAACTGAGGTGTATCAGATTAATGATCCAAAAAATGTGCTATTTGATGTCAAGCGGTTTATCGGACTTGATCCAGATCATCCAATTATCACGTCAAGGAGTAATTACTGGCCTTTCACTATTCTCAATACAAACGGATCAATTAAATTGGAAGTGGAGCACTGTGGTGTAACAAAGCAGTACAGCCCGGAAGAAGTAGCCGGAATGTTTTTGAAATATCTGAAAGAGCAGGCTTCGCGTCATTTGTCCACGACAATCACTATGGCGGTTGTTACGGTGCCTACAATCTTCGATAGTGAACGACGCGCAGCACTACGAAGAGCTTGCAAATATGCCGGCCTGCCAGATGTTCGGTTACTAAATGAACCGACAGCAGCTATCTGGTCCGATCCGTCCAATGTGGCCACAAATGGACAAAGATTTCTCGTGTACGATTTCGGAGGTGGAACACTCGATGTTTCCATTCATGAGCTTAACAATGGTCATTTCCGAACCATCGGTGTAGACGGAGAAGAACATTTGGGTGGTCGTGATCTGGACAACTTAATATGCAGTCATGTACGACGCCATTTTGAAACTGCAAACAAGTGCAGTGTAGAGGACGATATAAAAGTATTAGGAAGGCTCAGACAATATTGTGAAAAAGCGAAAAGACGATTGAGTTCCGAAGTGGAAACTTCAATTGTGATACCAAATTTGTACAATGACATCACACTACGCATGACTGTTTCGCAAGCTTGGTTCAACAGGCAAGCCGATCCACTGTTTCAGAAAACTCTCGATGTTGTACAACGAGTTTTGGACTCAAGTGACCTTACTGTCGACCAGATTGATAAAGTCTTGCTAGTTGGTGGTTCATCACGGATTCCACGTGTAATGGAATTGTTGAAGAATATGTTCACCGAGGAGAAAGTCAGCCGAGTATTGAACCCGGATTTGGCAGTCATGCAAGGGGCAGCTCGATTTGCGGCTGAATTTGCAAGTCATCAGTCGAACAAGTTCAATCCGTTCATACTCAGCGATGTTCACCCGTTTGCAATCGGGATAGAAGATGCGGAGGGTAAGATGCAGAGAATTGTGCAGCGAAATGCACCCATTCCCTTGTCTGTGATCCGTTATGCCACCACGTCCAGAGATAATCAGTCCGAAGTGGTCATCAAAGTGTACGAGGGTAATAGTGATCAGGTCGCTATGAATCGATTTCTCGGTGAGTTACGTGTGTCTGAAATACCAAATGCTCCTGCTGGGGTTCCGAAGATACTCGTTACATTGGAGATCAGTCAGGAGAGTATAATAAAAGCGAAGGCAAATTTAGATCAGAATGGGTCTACTGTTCACGAGTTGGTCATTCATAAATAGTAGACTTTCTGAACCTGGATTATGAATTTACTAACAGTTGACAGTTGGCCAAATGACTTTTATTTTATATATATATGTATATATATATCGAACAGCTGTATTTTAATCGTGCGATTCTCTGGTAATATTTAATTGGTTACAGATTGGACACTAATTTTACATCCATTGAATGACAAAATAAAACTTCGTTGAAAAACTGCGTTTTCAAATATGAAAATGATCATATTTTCTCCGTTGCAATCGACCATTTCTGGCATGTTTGGGAGAAAAGAGATTTGCGACTTTTAGGCAGAAATTGAACCACCAATTTGTTCCTTTGGAAGCCCTGACCACTCTGCCTTAGTCACGCGTCTACTTATATCCCAACACTCAACGTATCAAACAATATTTTGGATTTCTCATTTTCCGCGCATGTTCTTTCGTTAAAAACCGTAATATCTTTTGGCCTCTAATGGTCTGAATAAGTATCGTCTGATCTCGCTAGAGTTGTCACCTATCCACTCTGGTTAGATGGCGGCTTGACGTAAGGTGTCACCTTCAGAGAGGCATGATATAAGGTTTAGCATCTTCACTCTTGTATTGTGTGAGAAGTCTTCTTTGCTTTCGGTAACGTGGACCAGCGATAGTCATTCCCAGTTTCTTGCGGCGTTTCATCTGATCCCGCGCACTTATGTCATCTACAAGTACTGCGTCCTCGCTCACCGTGCCCTGCAAATGTCGTGCTAGTGTTTGAAACAGAGAACCTATCAGTTGAAAGCTTTCAAATCAACCTAGAGCTGCTTATTTTCCTAAAGTAATGACTTGTTGGGAAAGGCAGACCGGAGAAATAGTTTTTGGTGAGAATTTACTTTTTTTCAGACGGAAGTTTCCATGTACTGTCAGCGTTATACCCTTTTTTCCTCATGATTTAATCCGTCTCATAGATTCTGTTGTAGATTTCGTTCTTGGTGGCTACTCACTTCTGTGTAATTGACCACAATCGTGAACGCCAGGTTCCCGATGCGATAAATCCAGCCTCGTGCAGTTGTGTTGTCCATGCAATCCATATCCCACTTAAAATATCGTTGACGTTCCATGAAACACTGCAAACATTTGCTGAAAATTTTCAAATCTATTCAGGACATTTTACCAGTACGATTTACCTTCCTTACTTGAATTTAATAGGATTGCTGAGGTGTTGGAACTGCTAAAACCACATTACCTAATCCAAACGAGGAGATCACATTGCTACCCGGGTAAAAATCTCTCTGGTTTCTATTGGGGATGTTTGACGATCCCGTGTACACATGCGTAATGTGGTAGATGGAAACAAAGCCGGTCGAGTTCATACTTCTCTGCAAGGAAAAACACTAATTTACAACTATCTCGAATTCACTTTAGTATTAATTATCGATATAAGAATAATTTACTTATCCTGTTTACGAACTGTGCAGGTTGCAACTAATGGAACAATATCCTACAGTGGATCTGTACGAGATAACGCGAATGTCCACCTATTTTAGGGTATGCAGTAGCCGTGAGCACATTCAGCCAGTAAGAGGGTTTGCCAACCTTGCAGGGATCATATGGACGTTTGGGAGTGTATATCTGTACTAACACGTCACTGTTTGCGTTGTGTGGGTTGATGAATAATTTGTGCTCACGTATCATTTGAATCTGTCTTCCATTGCGTCATCGCGTTCCTATTGATCCTATTGTTTTGTTCTGGTAACGTTAGGAAGGTCATTACTGCATTTTCGAACTGTCTACCGACACATTTAGCATGACGGAGCACTTACTGTGAGGTGCGAAAATTGACAATAGACGCTTACTGGGTTCATGAATCCGTGAGGTGAAAAGTCACACTTTTTTCAAGGTAGCGTTTTTCGAAATGCACAAAACTGGCGAAGTTTCATCATATGTAATTCCTATGTAGCGCACATATGCTTCACCATCATCATCTTCATCGTACAGCGGAAGTGAGCTTCACTGATTGCTACCATGCTCTCAGTGCATATAAAGTTGGAGAGAACACACAAGGTAATTGGGGACTGGACCTATCTTCAGAGTGATGGAAAGAATGTGAACTTTAGTGGTCAACAAATAGAGTAGACAATATAACTGTGCATACAGGACGTTTTAAGCATTTTGACTGGAGAAGAAGGGACAACAAGAGGGTTGGTACTGTAGATTGGTGGCCATATGCTTCAGTATCTATAACCAACCAGATGCTGGATCTTTTGAAACCGAACATGGAAGACGGAAGATATACCCAGGAATCATTTTCTCCGTGTTGCTCATTTGCTAGTACTGTCCAACTCGCGTCAAGAAACGTACAAATCGACAGTCGAAAATTACTAGTCAATATATATCTTTTAGACGCAGATAAAAGCCTCAAAAACATAAAGAAGAACTGAAAGAAGGGTGGTACAGTGTAAAAGATCTTTCAATTTCAGTGAAATGTTATGTTAAAACCAAAAGTGTTTCAGGACTGCGTACGCTTCAAATCTGTACTAGTCGACATCCAGTCTTGCATCTGGACCGTGCAATTTGAAGGTGCAAAGTATTAACCGAATGGAGTTGTAGTACTAGTCAGACTGTGTGTTGACTTCAAACGGTATAAAGATCCATGAAAAACCCCAGAATACGGTATCTTTCAACAAACGCATTTGTTCTACCAAACGGTATCGAAATGCAAATGACAACGGTTTAAAATATGTTCAACAAACCGGAATCTGTGTAATCAGTAGTCGCAGAAATAAGGACTGTGAGCAACAGACGATATCAAGCAGGAGCACATGTATGATGACCTAGGGGAAACAAATCGGAACGAGGTGTATACGAACGATGTTCATCGTGAAACACCATGAAAAGACAGTATGGCAAGCCTGTAAGGGTGTGTGATAGCTCAAAGTGATAATTTCATAAATCAAATTTAAAATGGTATAGATAAATGTCAGGGTCAATCAATCATGGACATAGGTTGATGAAAAAAGTGAGAGGGGTCCACAACGTAGAGAACAACGCAGTGGAGCAGAGCAAAATAATACCAATGATGCGTGCGTATGTGCAAACGGCTTGCAGAACAGTTATAGGAATAGATCAATTAGGAGGAAGAAATCGAAAACACAAGTGTAATATAAGAAGACTAACCGTGGGACAGTGGTGGGTAGTGTGGGCATGCAAAGGATGTCCACAATGAATGATCGACGGGCCAATTTGAGGCATAATGGACTCAAAAGTCTGTCGAGTGCACTTTGAATGTCCCCCACACTTTCGAGCAGCCAAACGATGTAACTAGCCTACTCTTTGTCTCCCAGTGTTTCCCCAATGGCCCATTCAACATTTTGAAGACCAATGAGCACGTTCTCCAGTATTTCGTCTACAGAAAACATCGCTGTTGGTTTCACACGGGCTACTCAGTTCATTATTAACCTTCACTTGACCAGAAGTAGATGACCGCGATAGGTTGACATAGTTCTTTTGGAAAAAGTGAATCCAACGGAGTCTTGCGGTCAACCGAATGGAAGGTTCTTTTTAGGTCAAGGAACAGTTGATCATAGATATTGGCCTCCTAAAGGAGTCAGACGTCAAAGCATGACGAAATCAAACAATTTGGTGACGATTGGGATCGGAATTATCCCGCAGTGGCTTAAGCAGCCGTTGCGTGATCGCTTCTTGAAAATGGGAACGATCAGTGATTCCCACATGCACTTACCGATACTGGTTAGCGTATCATGCCGAAAGTGTTGATAAATTTTTTTCATCAGCATAATACACATTTTGCAAATGATAAAACATGCTTAGTGGACAGATCGGTTAGTTGTTTAGCTCTGCGCAGAATGGATGCCCAATGGGGTGGCAAGATATTGCGTTTTATTTTTATTCAATTAGCTTTTGAGTTCTGTTATACCCCGTAATTCGTTTCTACTGACGAGCGATCACAATTATGGACTTCCAGGCTAATCTAATCCTCATACAAACCAGTACAATCTATGATCCTCTATACTGAATGAATACTGGGAGATAATTCCTTTGAGAAAGTTGTCTGATGCACCATCGTCGCAACCAATAGCAAAATCATGACCGGCGTAAACGGCTGTCACACGAATGTCAATTTCGACTGGTTGCTCTTGTTTGGACCAGTGAACCTTCTCGGTCAGATTATTTCTTCTTTTCAGATCTTTCCGATTATCATAACCGTAATCATCTTTCTTGTCATAGTATTTCGAGAATGAGATTGTGAATGGAATTACGAATCCGACTGTCACTACCCTATTCCGATTTTCCCACGGCTGCAGTGTTTTTATATATCTTTAGTCCACTGCTGCACGTATGCCATATTCAAAGTTCCACAAGTAATCTTAAAGAATTCAGTTTGTCCCGTATTCGTTGGTACAAAATTCCGGTAAATCCAAAATGCCAAAATGGTGTATACGAAATGAAATTCACCTTAGGTAGGGCAAATCAAGCCTGAACTAAAAAGCTAGGAGTTCCTGCTCACGTGGTTCCATCGTGTGAATCTATCGATCGAACTAGTGATGAGTCTCGGGACTGTGTCGATAGAAATCAAGCACGCCAGTCACTTTAACACTGGACTCACATTGTCTATGCGCAATAACGCGCAATCAAGGTGTGCACATTAATCACGAGTTACCAAACTGCTAGAATGCGTAGTAGTAATTCAGGTGAAAAACGTATCTTAACATCGATCTAAATATATTCACCGAACCACAATGAAATTGAGCCATTGCAATTTGTCAATGCCCAAATTTCTTCAGTCAGTGACTCATTGTCTAACTGGCGTTCAGCTATTTGTTCTCCACTTTTTGCCTTATTCGGGTGGAGTCTGCATCGATTCCATTCTATCACGTGTTGTGCCTAATATCGATCCTGATCTGCTTGGGTCGGCAAAACTGTGAGAGAGCCTGTGCGCTCTACTGAACTGCTACTGGTATATGTGTGTTATGTATGACTCCATTGAAATCAGACCGAGATGCCATTCGAAGATGAAAGCTGAC